CTACTTACTTTTAAGAAGATTACTTGAGATGTCATATTGCTCCGAAACACCACATTTGCTTTATTATGAATGCTGCAGTGCAGAAACATCACATTATAATCACTTCAAACAAGAAATATATTCTGCGTATTTTCATCTGTGTTTATAATTCCACTAAACCTCAGCAGAATCAAACCCAGTAGGGACACAAATGACAGAAGGTTTAATGCTCCAGACACTGCTGAAATCTGGGAACACTGATATATGGCAGATTTGTTAATGTGTATAAGGTTACTTGTGGCCTGTGACCTCAAAGAGTATCTTCTGGCCTTATCACTTTTCCAGGAGAAAAGTAACCACTGACATGTGGATCTCCACACATAATTCTAAGGGAATTTGTAGAATGAAATTTCATAAAAGATCGTGCTGCCAAAAGAAATTATTTATGGATGCAGTATGCCTATTTATAACATTTGTGTATTGACCAGGCAAAGTAAGCTTTGCTTTACCATACCCATAACCATAATGCAAATGTGGTTTTAGCTCTCTGAGAGAGATTCAGCTTCTAAACTAAACTGCATATATTTTAATTTCATTGATACATATGTCATAGCAATTAAGGGAGAATTTACATTGTAACCTTCTACTGTACACATTGCTAGGTCCAATGTAGTACTTCAAACTTGGAAGTACATTTCATAAATACCAGAATTACAACAATACCATACATAGCCATTCCACAGCCAGGAAAGCTGCAAGGGACTAACAGGATGAGGGGAATAACATCACAGTTTTTGCTCCTGTGAGTGTTGTCAGTGTCACTCCTCTACTGGCAACAGCAGAGATCAGTGATTTTGGCCAGTTCACGTAATCTTAACCTTGAGCAAGTTTAGATGACTGACAAGACAAATCAGGGCAGCAATTTAAAATAAAATATATATTCAGGCTAAACTAAGCCCAGATTAATTAAAGTTGAATTGTTGCTATGAGAAATGCATTATTTTGCAGAGTAAGATAAACAAAACATACATGTTAAGTACCAAAAATAAGAACAACTTTATGTATAGTTAAAAGACACTATTTAAGGATATAAATAAGCACCAGATATCTAATACAAGACAGACAGTTTCCTATTTTAAGAATGTAGCATTCAGTATATCTCAATAAATAATTCTTTCCTGTTTCTCAGAACAGATTTTTTAGTGTATTTGTAAAATTTTCTAACGAAAGCTACAAACAATACTAGGTGCAGTAAAGTATACATTTCTGAAATGAGCATTTAAACTAGATTTTCACTTTTACAGTCAGCTAATAAGCAATTACAGAATACACTTTCTTCTTATAAATACTAAAAACTTTATTTCCTTGTTCCTTGAAAAGGTGTTAGAATTAAGAGCTCATTTAAAAGCACATACTACAAAAAATTGATGTTAAATGAAAGGAATTCCTTGCAATAGACATTAAGCTTTAATGATAATTTCAGGGAGAAAAACAAACAATTTTTTATTATGCTATTCATTAGAGAATTGTTTCATTTTGCACGGAATTGTAACTATTGCCAATTAGACTGCTTGCATTAAGATTCTCTAGTCAGGATGTTCTATGAATTACATAATTCACCATATCCTTACTAATGAAAAGTTTATATGACTGAATACAAGATGCAAAAGTTCAAGTTTCTATCCACTATCCTTTATTAATTTATATTTACAATATGTATTTTCTTATGTTAAACAAATGCAGCATCTTCTATTTTTCTGAGCAATGTGTTGCAATTCAATTTTGCTTCTATAGAGTACTGCAAGCAGTTACATCTATTTCATCTATAGAAATTCATCCCTCTGTCTCTTCCTTTCCCTTTTCATTTATATTTTTAAATGCTGTATTGACTTATGGTATATGAGCTGTTAAAATCATGCAAACTTACAAAGATCTTCATCTACAAATGGAAACTGAAGCAGAAAACTTCAGACTTTCAAAATCTTTGATATTTAAATTGCATTTTCATATGTGTAGAAATAATTCAGTAACACCATTTTAAGTAATCGTTTAGTTCAACCTTTGTCTTTCTAGTCTAAACATTTTTTTTTATTTCCCCTAAGTTTATCTGGACTTTTTCAATATGACATATGTCAAGGAATCAGAGTAAGTGATAAAAGCAGGAAGGGAAAGTCTGCATCAGTGAATATTTATATTGGCAAGAGCTGACAATTTTATAAAAGAAAAACAAACACAAAGGCTGTTCATTTCTGAAATGAAATCAGCTTCACTTCATTTCTCTCAGGAAAACATCATTGCATGAAATGATATAAATCAGTATTGATATCACTAAGCTTCAAACTAGAAGAGACAAATGCACTCTGCAGCATAGTAATTCAGTGGCTCCGAGTCAAGTTTACTGTTGTCTCATTTCTACTAATCATTGAAAAATTCCCTGTGAAATAATTATCCCTAAAACAATCAAGACAGTATATCTCTATAAAGGAGAGGATCGATTTAACAACAAACTCTATATTTATCTGTATTGATTAGAGGGCATTCAGTGTAATTTTAGTGAATTATGTTTGGCTTTCATTTCCCAGTAGAAATTTTTCTTGTGATGATCAAAAGGTAAATTGCAAACTACTACACGGTCTTTTGTGCGTTACCTACATAACATCCAACTGTTACTTTTCAAAGAAACATTGACGTAAGAAAGGTTTTTTTTACATATGATATCTTATTATAAAAATCATATGACTGAGTTTATAACACTTACCTAAGAGCCTGATGTCATCTTCTCAATTCATTAATACAGAAATCAGGACTGCACTAAAGAGTCTGTGCTAAAGGAACAAATCCAAGATCATCTTATGAGAATAGAATTAGAAAGATTAAGAAAGTAATATGATTTTTCTTCTTAAATAGGAGTAGTTTCAAAGGAGCTGTTAACACTTTCATGTCTGAAACTTTCTTACTGGCAAGAAGGAGAATGAAAAGAATCAGAGAGATTCAAAGACAATTTAGAGTAGCTGTAAGTCTGACACCACTGCTGATACAATTTAATTGAGGACTAATTGGAACTAAAAAGGCTAGCTATTTTGTCAACTGCATGTATATTAGTTCCAGTCATTTTTAATCTGATGTAACAGTGATAAAGAGTCTAACTTACTTTGTTTAGTTAATAACATTAGGCCAGAAAGAATCACCTAGTCATTTTATGTTACCCAATACACTGCTAATATAAATAATGTCTAATTACACTGACTACATACTCCCATGAAATGACCAATTAGAACATTTGCTGATTCTAAATGTTCACTGTTAGAGTCATTTCCACAGGCTTTCTGCTGGTTGGATTCATAAATTCTACCCCAGCTGGTAGGATGCATAAGGGCAGTTAGTTTCAACTAACAAAGGACAAAGGACATTTAAATACTCAGACACAGTGTACAGTGTTCACATGCAAAAATATATCAACTTAAAATGTGCTTTTTTTTTGTATTTTCTGGGAGTATGTAATACTATACATTTATATACTCTTCTTGCTGAATAAAGCAGATCATACTGCATGTTCAAGACTCATATGATAAAGGAAGCATGTGCTGGCATTTTACTATTTAGACCAACAAATTTAGTGATTTGTATTCACTTTCAAAGACGATTTGTTGGCTGTGATCTGAAGCTGGAATGTATAATACCAGAAGAGTCTCTTATTTATTTTCATTACTTTACTGATGAGTCAATAAATGCCCCTTGAAAACGTCAGTTCAGCACATACCAACATTTTATAAAGCGACACAATCTGACAATAATATTGACAGCAATTGTGTTAAACTCAAATTAAAATCAAAATAGAAAAATAAAATAAATGAGAACAATCTCTTGTCTACAGAAAAATTGCTGACAGTGTAAAAGTTGCATTTTTAATGATTGAATGATTATCTCTTAAGTAATCATGCTGAAAAAATTGCCAGTTACATTAAAGTAAATAACAGTACATCAGTATGTGCATTACAGGATCTAATTAACACAGAGTATTAGAAATATTTGAAACAGTGAGACATAGTTATCTAGGCAGGTTAAATAAAAGAAATACATTTACAAGGGCTGCAACTAATGCACATAATATAGTCAAACAAAAATTCAATACTGTAAAAGTATCTGAAAATATCAATGCTAAATTCCTCTGAAGGTGTCTAAAATACCTGGCTGCCACACATGTCTGTATTGTGCAAGGTCTCAATCCTTCTCCCACTTAAATGAGTATAAATGTTGCCACTCGGGTCAGCAGGCTAGCATCGGGTGCTTTTCCTATTCTTAGATGATGTCCTAAACATTACTAACCTACTTACATAAAAGTTTCTTCTTGGAATAAAAGGCAGCATGACAAACCACAGATCTGACCATTAGAATTGTTTTAGAAAATTAAATTGTAACTTAAAAAACCCATTGTGTAAATAATTACCATTTGCTCAAAGTAAAATTAACAAATGTTCTTTTAAATTAATTGGTATATGCTGAATGTGTGCTACTTTGTCTTATCCAGGATATTTAAAAATGAAATATATGATAAACTTTGTCTTATTGTAATTAGATTAATAAAAGAGAGTAATTAGAAGACTTACATTTTTTTCTAAGAGCTAGAAATTATTAAACTATCCAGAAAAGAAGCAAAGCTTTTATATAAAAAAAAAAAATCATTCTTTGAGCTGAATTACGATAAATCAATAAGACTGTTTTTGTTCAATAAGTAATAATTGTCTTCATATAAACTGAAAATATTGTTTGGAATGATTAATATACAATGCTGCATTATGCATTTGGGAGTGTCAATGCATAATTTTTAGTTCTAATGTTATTATGTAATTGAGAGAACATGTTCATTTGCCCTAATAACTACTAAGATGCACTTAATAAAATGAAATGTAATAATACTTGTAATTTAATCTATTCATGGAAGTAATTTTAAAAGTCTACCATTCTCCTTAATGTGGATAACATTCATAATTTATAAAGTGTTGTGATGCAGAATTGACAATGCCATTGTTTTTTACACTTTGAGATGATTCTGCAGCCTTCATTATCTGCATACCAACCTCAGGATTATCAAGGGCAAACAAAAGATAATTAACACCAGAAACAGGCAAATGCAGGAGCTACTGAGTGAGGGATTTCATTTAATGCAGAACCTTTGAAAACTGGGAAATGGAATAACTATTCAACACCTTTTTCCCTATTGCAAAAAACTATTTTAATATGGGGCTGTTTTCTAAATTTTATGTGTCTTTTTTTGCTCTAAAACTATATTGGCATGTTCAACCTCAGATACATTCAGTAAATGATTATGTTAAAGGCAAGTATTTTCTTCAAGTGCTGTGTGCAAATTTTCTGCAGTGGTTGTTTTTTTTGGCTTTTTTTTTTGGGGGGGGGGAGGGGGGAGTGTTTTCTTATTTTTCGTCTAGAACAGCAGACAGGTAGCTGGTATACATAGTCAAATCCTATGCTTTCAGTTGTCCATAGCAAGTCTGCAAATAAATCACTTAACTTCTCCATGATGCCTATTGTACAGTATTCTAAGATAGGGTTGAAAACTTTCACCACAAGAATGTGATAAACGAATAAGGTGTGGGTTTATGTGTTAATACCCTAAAGGAAAAAGCATCTGAGACTCCCAATGGCATTTTTATATGTACTCACAGCAGAACAATAAAGGTTTATTAAATGCTGATATAGGTCCAAGACAGTATATTTCAAACAGTGAGAATAGTTGAAACTTTTTTATTTTTGCACAAGGAATCTTGACTATGATTCTGCATTGCACTGTAAAAGGTTTGCTATGTAACTAATAATTTCAAAAATTAATCAGTGAATATCCTCCACAAAGAGAACCATTTGAATGCAAGGCAAAGAAGCATTGTATCATTAGGATCTTATCAGTGAATGAGCATCCTTCTACAAATGGTCCAGGCAAAGTAATTTTACAAATGGAAATATAGGACAGTGATATCCAGAGTTTCACGTAATTTACAGATGCTGATGACAGTCCAACTCCCCGCCCCTTACTTACATATGAAATTCTTATTAAAGGGGAATGTGATTATTAGCCTATGAGCTATCCATACAAGATTTAGCCGTTTGTGTTTAAATAGCATGATATATTGCCATAACTTCACTTTTTACATTTTAGAACTGAAAATACCTGATAAGTAATTGATCCAAAAATAATGTGCAAACAGTAGGAGCTTGCTTTCAGTCCAGCTCAATGGGCTGACAGCACTCTATATAGGAATGAGGGTTAACACATTAATATTCAAGACATAAATGCAAGACAACTCCATGAATCTTGTTCTCTTTCCACAAGATATGATGTCAGCTATAGCAGTACTTTCAGTATCAGGATGGTTTCTCATTTCTGCTGCACTGACCTTTTCCTCTGATCCTAACCCTCACTGGTCAGTGGTAGGCATCAGGAGGTGAGCATGACAGAAATGCCCATATGAACCTGGCCAGGCACTGAGCACACTGCCCCTCAGACAAAACCCAGTGCCAGGGAGAGGCTGAGGCCAAGGCCCAGTGCTCTCTCCATATCATCAGTTCAGTTCTTATAGCCAGATAAATCAAATTATGCAAGTCCCTGAAATCACTCAGACAGCTGTGTGGTTGACGGTAAACTCAACATGAGCCAACATTGTGCCCTGGGGGACAAAAGGGCCTAGGGTATACTGGGCTGCACTGAGCACAGCAGAGCTAACCAAGTTGAAGAAGAAACTCTGTTACAATACATAGTACTGGTGCCATTTCCGCTTGAGTATTGTGTGTAGTCTGGGGCTACACAATATAATGATATAAAAATATCACAACATGACCAAGGGAAGGCAAAAAAGATGGTGAAAGGACTAGATGGCATGACTTATGAGGAGCAGCTGAGGATACTCTGTTTTTTCAGTTTAGAAAAGAGGAGGCTGAAGGATAATTTCTGTCTACAACTTCCTCATGATGGGGAGCAGAGAGGGATGGAACAATCTTTTCTTTCTGATGCCTGGTGAGGGAATGGCTTAACACTGTACCAGAGGAAATACAGAGTGGATGTTATGAAAAAAATCTTCACTGAGAGGGTAGTCAAACACTGGAACAAACCCTCAAGAGGAATGGTCAAAGCTCCAAGCCTGATGGTCTTTGAGTGTTTGGACAATGCTCAACTTCATGGTTTAACCTTTTTTTTATATGGTTTAACTTTGAGGTTGTTTCATGTGGAGGCAAGAGTTGTACTTAATGATCCCCATGGGTCCCTTCCAATTCAGGATATTCTATGAATCTAAAATTCTAAGTACCAGGACTCTCAGGCACTGAGTTGTCATTCTTTGCGTCTTTAGTTTCAAGATACTTATGAAAAATAGATCTCCAAACTCTTCACATTCTCAGTTGGGGAGCTTGGAAATTTGGGAAAATTTAAGAATCAAGATGCTGAAACTCCTAAGTGCTATGAGAACCTATTTTTCTTTTATTTTAATTAAAATTCCTTTTTTTCAAAGGACATTGGCTTTAGTTCTGTAAACATTTGTATAAACGCTTTTTAGCCTAAGATCTTTAAAAAAAAAACCTACCATGTCTGGACAAGATACAGTGTCCTTTGATCTAATAGAGAATATCAGTTCTTTCACATAATTTTATTTATTTTTTATTTATTTAAAAGCCCTTGTCCTTTTATTGAATTTATCTTATGTTTAATTCCACTTCCCTGAAGGAAAATAAGACATACTCGCTACTATCTGCCAGGTTACTGTAAATACATTTTATAGAGTACGGTACCTTTTTATTTACACAGAGGAAAATACAACATCAA